TTTTTTTAATTTATTGTTTATTATTAATTTTTCAAGACAAACTTTATATATATTACATAAAATAATCTAAATATAAAAATAATTCAAAATTAGCTTATTGAATTGATTAAATAATAGTAGAGTGTCAAAGACATGCTCCCAAAGAATCGAAAATGGTAGGAAATAGTTCGAATATATCATACCAAAGTCGAATCAATGGAGAAGCCAAGCTAGAGTTAGAGACAAGAACATGAATTCTCTAACTGGCTTCAAATCGCCAAATGAGATGATACGAAGGAATTGTTGTGACTTAGTAAACTAAGGAAGGAATCTCTTTTCATATTACCGTCCAACTCTTCACTTTTTTAAGCTAAGGGTAGGACGGTGGGACAAACTTTTTATTTCCTTCTAATTATTTAACTTTAATTCTAAATAAAATTTAAAAAAAAAACACTTTTTTAAGGGTTTTTTAATTTTAAAATAATTTAAAAAAAAAATTAAATTGGTTGAAGCCAAATGACATTAACTTATTTCAGAATTTCAAAATTTTGAATTTCTGCCTCGTTTCTGTATTATGTAATCATTTCTTCCTTTTTGTTTTTCTTATTAACTCCGCAGTTCTTTTGTTTCGCATACTGAATTACAGTTTATTAAACTATTTTGCCTAAATTATTATTTTTCTTTTTTAGAAAAATATGAATTCATAATACGAATATTTTTATGTTTTTATTTGTCTATAACTTCGACATTTTTGTGCTAACATGATCAAATTATTTATTTTGTCTATATTTATTTTGAAAGTCATGTATTTATAATCAAATAAATTACTATGGGAAGAGTAATAAATAGAAATAACAATAAATGTAATAGAAGACAGATATTTGTCTTTAATAAAATATTAAATATGATATATATGAAAAACTATGTACTAAATATCTTTAATGCATTCTATCTTCTTAATATTACTCTCATTTAGATATTATCTTAATTTATCATGTACTCGACTATTATAAAAATACTTTAAAAAAAATTCTTAAATTAATATATACAAAATAATGATTAAAAAGAAAATTTTAAATTAAATTGTTAACACATAAATGGTCATTATTTCTTTCAAAATTTTTAATATTAACGATTTTTATATAAAACTACCTATAAAATTTTAAAAAGAAATTATTAATTTTTCTGAAAATTTAAAAAATATATTTTTTTTTATTAATTTTGATATTAACAAAATTAATTTATGAAAAACCTTTTTTTTTTAGAGAACCCTTTAATTAATTAAATGCATTAAAAAAAACATGAATAGGACATTTCGTTAGAAAAGGATAAAACATTAAATGTAATAAAACAAAAATAAAACATCCTCAAAATTAAATAATAATAATAATAAATAATTCTCCTTTTCTACCTCTGTTTCCTCCTTCGTTATACAGAAACTCAAAACCTCTGTTTCCTTTCTCTCTCTATAAACCTTTCTAAAGTGGAGCGAGAAGCTCAAACTCTGTTTTTTTCATGGGTTGCTCTGCTTCAAAGCCTGCCGCCGCCACCGCCGCCCGTTCCTCCCGGAATTCTGAACCTTTCTACTCTCCTTCTCCATTGCAGTCCGCCGGAGGCTCTTCTCCGGCGGTCGGGCGAGCTTTCTCGCTGCCGACGCCGCTAGTCCACCACCCGCCGGTGAAGGAGGGCGACACCCACCATCTTGTTTTCCTCACTTCCACCACCTATGGCTCCGACCGTCCGACTAACCCCGGCCGGCCACCGGCTAAGGCTTTAAAGCCCGTCCAATTCTCCGACCAGATTTCTCTCTCCCCTGACTCTGTAATTAACACCTGGGAACTCATGGACGGCCTTGATGATGACGACGTCGATTTCAGCCACAATCCGATCAATTCCAGTTTGATTCCGGCCAAACCCAGTTCTATTCCGGCGAAACCCACATCGGAAAACGGGTTCAATTCTGCAATGGAGGAAGAAATCAGCTCAGTTCCGCGGTGGTTGCCGAAGAAACCGCTCTGGAAGCACATTTCAGAGGAATCCCTCCTGGCAAAATTGGACCCAAACGTAGCTTCAACATACACCAGAGCCCTCTCTTCACGGCAGCACAACTCCGATCAGCCCAACACCCGCCGGAGTTCATCGTTTTCAACTCACTGGCCATCCAATTTCTCAAACACCCAAAACAGAGGAATAGTAATCTACTTCACAAGCCTTCGAGGAATCCGAAAAACCTATGAAGATTGCCGGTTGGTTCGCACAATCTTCAGGGGATACAGAGTTTTGGTAGACGAGAGGGACATATCAATGGATTCGTTCTTCAGAAAAGAGCTGCAGGCGAAGCTCGGAGGGAGGGCACCGGCGAGACTACCGCAGGTTTTCATCGGCGGGAAGCATGTCGGTGGGGCGGAGGAGATTCGAGAAATGAACGAGAGCGGGGAGCTGGGGGGAATGCTGGAGGGGTTCCCGGGGGCGGAGGTGAGGTCGGTGTGTGGAAGGTGTGGGGATGTTAGGTTTGTGCCTTGCCTGAATTGTTATGGAAGTAGGAAGTTGTTTGGGGAAGATGGAGGGTTGAGGAGGTGCCCTAAGTGCAATGAAAATGGATTGATTAGGTGCCCTTCTTGTTGTACATGTTTATGAGCTTTGATTTTGTGCCAAATCTTTGTAGTTTTGGTTTGAAGAAAGGTGTTATATGGAATGGAATGGTGTTTTAATTTTACTTGATGATATAATGTGTAAGTTTGTATCATACGTACACACATATGTATATATACACACTAGTCTAAGTGGAAGAGTGCTCGAGAGCTGTATGGCTATAGAGGGGTTGTCTCGAGACCGACTCATAGTTTGAGAGCTCAGTATAATACGCACTATATAGAAATATCAAGTTGGCTCAGTATAATACGCACTATATTCCCTGTGATACAATCTAAAAACTTATACCTAAGGTTTGGTGCGTTCTCTACGATATAGTCAATGTCATAGGATCATGTTGTATTACAACATTGGGAGGTCTTTTAGGGTATCTTTGGTTCTAGCTCTAAGAGATCTTTCTTAAATCTTGAGGCACAACCAAGGCAAAATTCTTAACTGGTATCCATGAGCCATAAACATTTCTTCACGTGCATAAATCTTTCATAAGTATCTTGTCAATCGGTATTCATAAACTCTTTGATCTCTTATAAAAGACCTTTAAGGGTAGTTCTGTCATTTTCCTCATGGTTCATACCCTAAACATGTCCTAATCCCTCGTCAGATCTCACATAGTTACCCTTAAGATGATACATGAGTCTCGTATAAATTTTCGTAACATTTGGAGTCCTTTAGGGTCTTGAAACATCTCAGAATTCTTATAGGGATATTTTGGTCATTTGCTACCGATTGTTTGAGTCCTTAACATATTCCATTGGCCTTAAAACTTTGCATAATTCCTTTAAACCATGAAATAAGTCTCCGTATAAACTTTATGTCATTTAGAGGTCACTTGGGTCAGAAACAATGTGTAACTATAGGGGCATTTTGATCATGTTTAATCTTATCCTGTTATATTAAGCCTTCTATTAAAGTTTCACGAGCAGTGGAGTCCATTTAGTAGGCTATTTTAAAGTCATTTTAATCTCGAGAAAATTACCCGATTTAGGTCCTTAACTTTCCATTCTTGTCTTAATTCTTCCATAATCCTTTAAATCTTACTTAGCTAAGGGTTCATATTGACGTTTTGATCATCGATTCGGTATGAAAAATAGTCAAATTAGCAAAATATTATGGTCAATTCATTTGGAGGGTGGCATGACGTTCACCAACTTGTTCAAAATTTGTTATACTATTCTGTTGAAACATATTTACATAGCGGTATGGAGAAGATTATCAAAGGTACAACAACTAGTTGGCTTGGAAACAATTACTATACTTTCATCATCATGGATCTCCGACTCTTCTCAATATCAATTCATTGTTTCATAACTTTAGTCGTAGTTTGGACATCTTGTATCACAATCCACCTCCATACGAGCCCGAGGAACTTTGATCATTATTATGACACCTTCAAATCACCGCGTATGTTTCACACTCGTAGTTGTTCTTGAACTTGGTTTTAAATCTCACAATTAGTGTAGAGACCGGGAGATTTCTACATTTCATCTGAAACTCAAGTTAGTGCATTTGCAAGCTAACACCAAAATATAATCTTCGCACACTACGATCCTAGGACAGTACAATATGAAGATCTTAAAATTGTATTGTATAACTTTGTAATCGTACAAATTGATCTCTTACGATCTCAGGATCGTAGTATGCAATTGAATGTTCACTACGATCGTATTTTGGTCGTATCTCCTTTGATACAAGTTTGTTGTATCTAAACATTTAGTCATTTTTGTACTTTTAAAGTTGCCAAAAAACGAGATAATCGAAGCGTAAACCTTGATAAGCCTTAATTTTAAGTTCAAAGGTGATTTTTTTTCATGTCACTTTTTAAGATCTACGTGTTGAAAGTTAAATGGTTAGACTTTTCAGTAAAAAAAATTATGATAAATTTAATGAAGATAAGTTTAGAGAAGTAAAAAATTTCAGTGATTTATTAGGTGAAAAATGGCTATATATTATGGAGTGATATTGACATAAGATCATATCAGTGATCTGATATTCAGAAATTAAAACATAAAAATACCAATTAAATATGTTTTAACATCGAATTGTATTGAACAACGACAACTGTGTTTAAGATGGGTTATTCGGTGATCGAGATAAAATATATATATATATATATATAGATATATATATATATATGTTTTGTTAATCGAAGTAGAAAGAAAAGAAAAAAAAAAGTCAATAAAAAGGAGAGGGAGGAGAAGAAATTTAAAAAGATAAGAGATGTTTTGTAATAAAAGGGCAGAAAGGTAATTTCACCCATCAAAAAAAGTTTTAAAAAAACAATTTTGATTTTATTATTATAATTTATATATATATATATATATATATATATATATATTTTTTTTTTTTTTATAGGCTAGTTTCATCAATTTCCTTCGAAAATTAGAGGGAAACTTGTTTTCAGTGCAATCGTCGCTTGCAGATCCAACGGGATATTCGAAAGCCGTCACCGATCTCTTCCACTGCAATCTCCGGCTCCCATTTTTTAATTTTCTCTCAACAAAGGGATCACAAATCATCCCATTTTTCGATCAAGTATGAGCGATATGATTTCACAGGCGGGGGATTCCGATTCGAAATTGGGATCAGATCCAACCAGTCGAATCAACGAAGTGAAGGAGTGGTTGGGATCCGAATTTGGGAGGGCTGGTAAAGAAGTTCCCGATTTTGAATACACGCCTCGAAGCGTCTCTCATTTGCATAATCTCTGCACGCTTTCGCAAGCCAAGACGCGCGCTGCTGAGATTCTTGCCAAAGACTTCCGCCTCAAGGCCGCCGAGTACCGCGCCCAAGGTTAGGGTTTATCTTTGAGCTTTCGTTTGGTGAAATCTTTAAGGGTTTTGTTTCTTTTGATTGATTTGTTTTTTTGGAGCTTTAGCGGCGAGGATCAGGGAGATTTTAGAGAGCGTGGGGATGGCGCAGGAGAATTTGCCCTCCAATGTGGTTTCATCGGCGCAGGTTCTTGCGAATGTGGCGAATTTATTGAACATTAGGGATACTGAGCTCAGTAGGTAAGGAAACCCCTAATTTTTCTCTACGTTTGGTGTATTTGTTGTGGTCTGTGGAGTGTTTGATTGAGAGAATGTTAAATGTAGCTTTCTGGTTGCAATGGGTGATATCACTTTGAGGAAAATTAGTGTTGAGGAGAAGAGGACGAAGGTGGAAAAGGATTCTAAAGTTCTTCTTGATCATACGCGAAAGGCAATTGCAAGACTGACATATTTGAAGAGGTTAGTTTTTTGGTGAAATTTCTTTCTCAGAGTGCTTAAAATTTAGTGTTGGATTTTTTATCACTTTGACATGAACTCGGCAGAACACTAGCACAGCTAGAAGATGATGTAGCTCCATGTGAATCTCAAATGGATAATTGGAAGACAAATTTGGCTGTAATGGCTGCCAAGGAGAGGCAGTACATGCAGCAATGTGCAAACTACAAGGTACTACTTGTTCTTTTTGTTTTGCTACTTGTTAGAATAAAGGGGTTTATGAAGTTTAAAGATTGTTGTGCATCTGGATATAAGTTTTTCCTAGCATAGAATCCAATGGGTGGCTTGGTGATAGGGATGTTTGGAGATATCTTCCAAGTCTTGGGTCGAAACCCTTCAATAGAAAACTTGTTAAATTAAAACCGTCCTTGTCTTCTAAGGCTGAGCTTTGGAGGGCTAGAGACCCGAAGTTCGCTGCCTTCAGAGTTCGCGAAAGCCAAAACCTGGGCCTGGTCTCCAATACCCGAGGCCGGGTTCTATAGTCAAGCCGATCAATAATTCTACAGAAGGTTAGGAGTGAATTGGGACCTTCAAGTGGTGAACCAGTCCTATGAGTGGGTTGAGAGGGCTATCGTCTTTAGGAAGTCTTCAGGGTGTTTTGAAACCAAAAGTTCACCCTTTCTAGAGTTTGTTTTGACATTTGTGCCGAAGTTCGTCGAAACATAGACTTGTTAGAGCTCCATCCTTAAGTGGGTAAAGCTTCCTTGCATATTTGTGGGCACATGATACATGCAAGGAGTGGAGTGCCCTTGATGCCCAAGTCGGTAAACAAATGTTTTGGAGCATAGATATGTGGTATATTATTAATTTGATGGTAAAGTTGATGAACCTCTACTCCATTCATGAATTATATTGGCATGGCGAAATACGAAAAATCACGTTTCTTCTTCAAAACTGCAAGTTCACAATACTTTAGGACGTATTCTAAAGGCTTATCTCATTCAAAATGGAGATTTGAACATGTGATTTGATGAAGTATTTTATGTGACAGGCAATGCTTAACCGTGTGGGTTACTCACCAGATATTAGCCATGGGGTACTGGTTGAAATGGCTGAGCACAGGAAAGAGTTGGAGAAGAAAACTAAGCCCATCCTTGATACTTTAAGGAGCTACCAAGATCTGCCCCCTGTAATTCTCTCCACTGCCAATTGTTTTTAACCTTTAACTTCACCAAAAGAGAAAATAAAAGGATTAAACTTCTCATCTTTGCCTTAATTACAGGATAAAGCTTTGGCTGCTTTAGCAATTGAGGATAAGAAAAGACAGTATGCAGCAGCTGAAAAGTATCTTGAAGATGTGCTTCATTCCGCGCTCACCACGACGCACTAGCTTCGCTTGGACAGCCTTAAGCTTGTCGGTAAATTGTTGTGTTGTTTGTGCGTTAATTTTAGTAGATGATAGTGAAGAAAGGTGTATAGTCAATATTGAGGATTATGCATGTTTGGAATGCTGGCAACTGAGTATATTTTGTAAGGTGTATAGTCAATATTGAGGATTATGCATGTTTGGAATGCTGGCAACTGAGTATATTTTGTAACATTATGACATTAGGAACTTGAGTTCCTTGTTATGAATATAGTTTCTTTTGTTTTTTAGAATGGTACATAGATTTGAAGAACTTGGTTAACAATGATGTGTTAAAAGAAAATTATGATTGCTATGACTCTTGTAACGGTTCAAGCCTACCGCTAGCAGATATTGTTCTTTTGGGCTTTCCCTTTCGGACTTTCTTTCAAGGTTTTTAAAACACGTCTGCTAGGGAGAGGTTTGCACACCCTTATAAAAGATGTTTCGTTCTCCTCCACAACCGATATGAGATGAGATCTCACGCCTCTATGATTGAATCATAATTGAACTGGAATGTTTTATTTCTTTCATTTGCTCATGACACTATTGCTTCTCGCTTGTATAACTAATGAATTCCATTCAAGCTTTGAGTGTTTCTTGCAGATGACTCGAATTCACGGCTGAAATGGCATTTGAGCTAGAGAATTTTGATAAGATGGATGTATAACCTTTTGCTTGTGTTAGCATCCAATGAAAATACAGTAGTGCCTTCATGCTCATGCTCTTCCTTGCTCACTTCCTCGTGCTCGTGCTCGTGCTCGTGCTCGACTAATCCAATGTAATTGTGTCCTCACATTCGTGATCTTCCTCCACTCCCGCGCTCTCATGCACCTCACATCATGCTCAACGAATCCGGAACGCATTCCTCAACTTATAGCCCCCTTCATCTCTGTAAGGCAACTCAATTTGGATCCAGTGAATCAAAAGGAAGCTAATTTGGGTGTAAATGTAGACCCAAATGAGGAGATTAATGGTGAAGTTTTGGGGTAAAATGAGGGTATTGTTTCAGGTGGGAGTTCTGATATCAGAGGAGATGTTTTGATGAATATAGAGTAAGTTTGGGTTGTTTTAGATTGGGGAGATGAGGAAGGACAGAGGGAGACAGCAAAAGATTATACATCGTTGCATATTCTTTTGGGTCTTTAAGTTCGGATCTCTTATGCAAACATCGTGTCGTTTTACATAGTTTAAACGATATCGGTAATAGCCACAACATAAACATAACTGAATTGACATAAAATTTATATTTTTGACCAAAAGATCAAAGGTTTGAATCTCTCGCTCTCTCGCTCCTATAATATTAGACATAGACTAGACAAGAACGCAACAACAAAGCTTAGTCAACTTTTCTCCACTTGAGAATTTTTTTTTTTTTTTTAGTTTCTATATTTTGAGAAAATTTCGAAAAAACGACACGTGTAATTATGTAATTGTGGGACTCTAGTTATATGTATTATTTATTATAGATTCAAATAAAATATGGAGCATGTGACCTTGATTCCACCCATCACTATATTTTGTAAGCAAGTTTTAACCATATTTGTTAATCTTTTGAATTCCTACATTTAACTAAACTCTCACTTTAATATAAAGCTAGGTAACTTTCTTTACCTATGTATATGCTACTCGCACTAACATGGTGGTCAATCTACCTAGCTACTCGCACTAACATGGTGGTCAATCTACCCTTAGGTAGCTAACTTGTCGAGGTTAAAATTTCTTTTCTACCTGTAGTAGCTCAAGCCCACCATTAGCACATATTGTTCGCTTCTATTTGTAACAGTCCAAACTCACCACTAGTAATATTGTCGGAAGTCCGTAAGGGAAAGCCCAGAGAGGACAATATCTGCTAGCGGTGGATCTGGGCCATTACAAAAGCACTTTATTAGCCCATTAAGTATTGTCACTAACCTCACGATTTTAGAACGCGTCTGAGGGAGAGGTTTCCATACTCATATGAGGAATGCTTCGTTCTCCTCTTCAGCCGATGAGAAATCTCACACCACCCCTTCTAGAATAGTACTCGATAATTGAACAAGTAAACATAACATATTCTATTTCTCAAAAAGTGAGAATGAAAATTGAAATTTTTAGTGGGAAAGGCTGCTATCATTACTATTTGATCTCGAGTTTTTGTATTTTTTTTTTTTTCCCACCAACTAAATAAAGGGAAACAATTAGCTTGTCGTGGTTTAAATAGATCACCTTGTAGCCCAACTCTATTGTATTCTCGTTGAAGTATCAAATAGTTTCGTCAATAGTTATATGAACAGGCTCAAGCGATCAAGTTTTAAAATAATAATTAATGTCATACGCTTGATAAATGGACAATTAGTTCAATATGGAATGAAAGTATTCCAACATCAAATCTTTGGGTCGAAAGTATATACTTCTTGAGAAAGTGGACTGTCACATAAAGTATACAAACAGATATATTTCTCATACAAAAGAAAATAAAATAAACATATGAAGATATAGGATTCCTAGTATTAGAATTTGAAATGCTTATAACGCAGAACTATACGAGGTATTTGATTTCAACTTCTTGGTTTTGTTGAACATTCTTCTCATGCTCAAACTGGAAACATCAGACAGCCATTCTTGAGAAGAGAGCTTGAATTGTGCATACATTCTGGTGTGAATCAATATATATATCATCGTCGACTCGCTGCTGCTGCGATCCCGGCAGCTATAAGCCCCACTGCTGTAGCTGCAATGCCAATACCAATAACTCCATCTGCACATCGACATACCACAAACCGAATTCGTTAAGGATACGATTCAACACGATAAAAAAGGTTAAAGAAAAGGTGTTCTAGAATCTGGATCTCATTGTACCTTTTGCAATTTGATCTTCTACAGTCTTTTTAAGTGCTGAGGCCTGCCTCCAATCAGGTGCAATCTACAAAAACCCAAGACATTAATTATATACGATCAACAATTAGGAATCACGACTCTCCATAATGGTATGATATTGTCCACTTTGAACATAAGCTCTCATGGCTTTGCTTTGGGCTTCCCCAAAAGGCCTCATTCCAATGAAAATGTATTCCTCGCTTATAAACCCATGATCATTCCCTAAATTAGCCAATGTGGGACTCCCTCCCAACCATCCTCCCCTGAGGTCCATGTAGCCCTCGAACAGCCTCCCCTTAATCGAGCCTCGACTCCTTTCTATGGAGCCCTCGAGCAAAGTATACCCTTTGTTCGACACATGAATCACTTTTGACTACATCTTCGAGGCTAGCAATTGCTTTGTTCGACACCTGGGAATTCTATTGACATGGCTAAATTAAGGGCATGGCTCTGATACCATGTTAGGAATCACGACTCCACAATGGTATGATATTGTCCACTTTGAACATAAGCTCTCGTGGCTTTACTTTGTGCTTCCTCAAAAGGACTCATACCATGATCTTCCACTAAATTAGGACTCATACCATGATCTTCCACTAAATTAGCCAATGTGAGACTCTCTCTCAACAATCCTCAAGATCAACCAACGGCTAAGATCACTCCTTCATTCATCAAAATCTTTGAAAAAAGTTTTATGAGTCATGCAGATCATGGTTGCACTTGTAAGTAAGGTTCAGAAAGGAAATGCATCATTCAACCAACCAAATTACAAGATGAAGCATTTGTGCAATGATGTGTGATGCCACCAATGAACATTGTAGCTAGCAGAATACCACCATCTCTCAAGGTTTAGAAACATAACATTGTTCTATACAAGCTGTAAAAGTAAAGTACTGGAACAAACCTGTAAACATTTTTCTAAAAGCTGCCGACTCCTTACATATTCAGCATTTCTGTAATATCCAACAGCCAACAAATAAAGTTTCTCCCTCTGTTGCAAAGGGGTCCTAGTATTGGTTAAGGAAGCTGCAAATCACATACTAATCCAACTTTAAAAACTCAACCATACAAAAAATAAGCTTTGAGAAAAATGGTTCAACTTGCGTAACTATGTTTGAGAATGTTCAGAACAGAGCAAACAAGATGAAAGTAGCTTCAAATGGAAAGTACCTTCTCCCATTTAAGGTCTAAGCTAATTTATAATCAAATTTAACGACAAGATGATTATGGCATTCGAGTTCGAGTTTGAGTTCTCGTTTCCGAGTTCACAAATTAATAACCACATATAGAGATACTGCTCGTGACATTCGAGTTTGAGTTCTTGTTTCCAAGTTCACAAATTAATAACCCATATAGAAATCCTGCTCATGGTGTTCAAGTTTGAGTTCGAGTTCTCGTTTCCGAGTCCACAGATTAATAACCACATATAGAAATACTGCTCGTTTTTCATCTGGGCCATAATGAGTCCCACAAAATACAAGAGAACAAATCCTTTGAAGAACAACTAAACAAACAACCAAAAACATATCCAATTATGGCCTAAGAAAATTGACCTTTGTGAGCTGCCAGTTTTGAACGGCCGCCTAGAATGTTTATACCCTACAAACTTTACTTATAAGTTGCACAGCATTAATTAAAGGACGGTGACCTTATTAACCAAGAAGCTGACATCAAAACATATAGTGGAGAAATACTGTCCTTCTTCCTAATTCAATAAACTCATAGGAATTCAAGAATATTTCTAATATCATGATGTAAGAGCCCAAAATGTTTATACCTTACCGCTAGCACCTTTTCAAGCTTCCCCTCAAGGTTTTAAAACGCGTCCACTATGGAGAGATTTTCACACCCCTAATAAGAAATGTTTTGTTCCCCTCTCCGACCGATGTGGGATCTCACAATCCACTCCCTTAGGGACTCAGCATCGTAGCTGGCATACTGCCCGGTGTTTGGCTCTTATACCATTTGTAAGAGCCCAAGAGATATTGTTCTCTTTGATTTCCATTTCAAGCTTCCCAAACGTGTCCACTAGGAAGAGATTTCACACCCTTATAAGAAATCTTTCGTTCCCTTCTCCAACCGAGGTGAGATTTCACATATCATCACAGGCATGATGCATTTTCTTTGCTGTGACCTCAAGTTCAAACATGATTTACCTTCAAGCATTGCTATGCCACGATTAATGTCCTCCGATTGCCTTGAGTGAACAAGCGCCCATGATAACCTCATGATACTTTCATTCTTGCGTTCTTCTGAGGTACCTCCGCTGGCCTCTGCAACTTCTCTTTCACACCCCTGAAATTCAATATGCAGTTTAAATCAAATAAATACTATGTTTCAATCTACAAACCCTAGATCAATTTCACACCTATTTTGTATGGAAAAAATCCAATTTCTTCTTCTACAAAGTTTATCAGTAACGCTATGTTCGAAAAACGTATATCTAAGCACGACAAAATTCATCGATCGGAGTCATTCTTCTCCGTTTTTCCTTTCGTATTATAGAAGATCGGACAGAAAATGTAATGTTTAAAACAAGAATTTAAGAGAATAGAAGAAAACTCACTACGATAACATCACGATCGCACCATGGGATTTGGTCGCCACCGCCGAAGAACGAAGAAACGGACTCGAACATTTTTCCAATCTTTGCCTCCATTAAATGCGATGAATCAACGACTTTCAGAAGATCAAAGGAAACGAAAGAGATGATTAACGAAGAAGAAAATGAATTTGGAGATGTTCTAGATTTGAATTTGGTGTTTATATAACTATGAATCAAATTTAAAGGTTTTCTATTTTCTATATATTTCAGTTTCTTCTGAATTAAAATAGTCAATCTCAATATAGCTAACGCTGAATATGTAATGCCATGTTTTTAAATTCATAATATTTAAGTTTAGTCCCTACCTATCTTCTCTACCATTCTCTCGTTCCTCGTTCGTTCTAGTTTATTTGTTCGACTTTTTTATTGTGCTCTTTGGTTCGATTTGAGTTTCTCCGTTTGTCTTCTCCATTGTGATCCTTCGTTCAATTCGATCATCTTTTCAGTTTGAGTAACTCTGTGGATGATCAACTGCATTGTCGGGTATCATGGTCTCCTACATATTTAGCATCACAGTATCACGCTAGCTTGCAGTCATCTCTTCTTTTGTTAAAATACCATAGTCAATTGCACATTTGATATGTCGGAGGGTTTGTCGAGCTACACCCAAATGAGACCTCTTCAGACTTTGCATGTACCGACTAATGATTCCACCCCATTTTCAAATCTCTTTGGTTGATTTAGACTTTGCTTACTACAAGTGCTGGCGAGACCGGTATAGTAGTGATCTTCGTCACTGAACTAAACGTTTCATCATAGTCTAGTCCATATTTTTTAGAAAATCCTTGAACTACAAGTCAAACCTTATATCTCTTGATTAATTCGCCTCGGGGACACTTTATTTTGTAAACCCACTTTGCAAAAGATGGGTTTGACATCTTGTAGTCTTGACATGAGTTCCCGGGTTTGATTTTGTTCCAAGGCTATTAATTATTCATTCATTGCCTTCTGTCAAGCTGTATTTTGTGATACTTTTTCATACGTCTGGCTCTTTAACATCAGTGTCACTTGGATCTTCTGTATGTAGTTTGCTCTCCTATCTTCTGTGGTAGAATTTCATCAATGTTGTCCGAGTCTGGTAATACTTTTTTCTTCGAGAACCATCCCGCTTCCATTGCACCACTGTAATCGTCAGTTATGTGGTCTGAGTGATTCTAAATCAATGATCCATTCATTCTTATAATTAGTATACTCTCCCATCATCACCACAAGCGATAGCTCGTTTTCTTCTATGACACATAGTACCTCTACAATTATAGCAAATACTTTCACATTTCTTTCCTAGAGAACTGTCGTTGTCTTTCTTTTGAGTTCTCCTAGGTTGTGTTGTTCCTTGGTGACTTATTCCTTTGTCACCATTTTTGTATCCACATTTGGTAGACGACTTATTATTGCTCCGACTTTCACTTGTGTAGAATATTTTTTCTACAACCTTTAACGTGATGTCTCCCATTTGCTTAGTCATGACTTCTTGGTTGGCTAAAAATTTTCGAACTCTACAAGTGATGGTTGAGCAGGTCATCCTTGTACAGCAATAACAAAAAATTTATATTGTGGTCACAATCCATGGATAATGATCCTCTTCATTCGAGCTTCTCCAATGATGGACTTCAGGTCTAGTTCAGTAATCTCTCGACAACTCAACTTGACTCTATGGAACTACTGAGTAATGTCATGTCAGTGATATTGATAACAACAAGTTCTCTAAAAGTTGTAGCCTCGTATCATTCTTCTTTAAGAATAATATCACAAACGTATCACATGGTTCTTTCGGTGTCTTGTCATCCCAAATGTGCTCTAACATCTCTTCTTCGATTATGGTCTTCAAGGCAAACATTGTTTTATCTGCTTTGATTCTCTATTTGCGCAAGGCGCCATTAAGATCCTCCTCTGAAGGCGTAATTTCATTCCCCACCAATGACCTCCTGGTTCTGTCTTTATAAATAGGATATCATGCATGTTGTCTGCATATTGTAGTTGTTGTTGTTGAGTTTTCTAATTCCTCCAACAATTTGAAAATCACCTATCGTGTTGGCAATACCTCAGTAATACGAAACAAGCATTTTCGACACAAAACTTGTAGAGTCACGAACTACTCATGAAACAAAGAAACTCACTCACTAATACTCTCAAGAAATAGTTTCTAACGTGGGAGATCAGACAGAGCTGCAACCACAGAACATACTAAGAATTCCAAAAGATTAAACAACCCACATCAACCTTGCTCTGATACCAAATTGTCGAACACAACTCTTTGTGGGAAACACTCACACTGTTTATTAAAACCAATCGAGAAAAATACCCAATTGTTTTTTCAAATTCCTTCCATGTGTATCCCTCTCTTTTAATTATTATTCCCCACTTTCCCCATCTTCAAGTGGATAGGAAACTTAGCCACTTTGATATCATTTTCCATATCCCCATCTTCTTTCCAACCCTTCTTAAGCTCTTCAATCACTTCATTGCTCAAAAGCTCCACTCCCAAACCTTTAGCCGTCTGATATGAAGACCAAGACCTCAAGTATGTCAAATAGTCCTCAAACTTCATCTCCTTCTCGGCTGCAAATGCAGTTATCGTCCCCTCTTCGTCTATCGACTCGAAAGGAAATTCGATCGTTTTGTACTCTTCGTCTATAAATCGACGTGGTGCCTCCCAATATGGTCCAAAATTTGTAGTGTAGATGCGACGGAGGACTGCATCGATAGCACTGTTGACTTCGGGTAATGTGTAGCACCATGCAGCAATGATGCCGTGAGGCTTCTTTAAGACCCATCGGACGTTTTTGTAGAACGATGGAAGGTCGAACCAATGGAGGGCTTGTGCAACGGTGACTAAATCAACCGACCCTTGTGGTGCCACTGTCTGCTCGACTTCAGCGATGGACATTGTCGGCGGGGTGTGGCGGTAGTGAATATTGGGATGTTTGGTTGCGAAGTCGAGTTGTTTTGGACTTGTGTCTGTGGCAATAACCGTGGTGTAGTGTGCAACAAGCTGGAAGGGTCGACAACACTAATGAGCTAATAAACTTGACTTAATATAATAAATTACTAAAATTTCAGGAGAATTTGTCAGTAGAATAAGTTGCTAAGTTATAGAAAAACTTTAGAATAATTGATACTGGTGACCAAATTGTGACAAGTGTTCTGTCTAATCAAGTTGTTTATTTACTTATTTTATTTGTTTCGACATATTTCGATTATGATCGTATCCAACAGACACGAGTTAACTCACTTATCAATATTGAATCATTGACAAGCGTAGTTTGTGAAGAGAACTTACGGAGTGAGCAGCTTGGCCGGTGCCGGTGCCGACGTCCCAAACGAGGTCATGGGCGGGCGTCTTGGAAGCGATATATTCGAAGAGCTTAGCTGGGTAAGTGGGTCTTCCGGCTGCATATTGCTCGGCTTGTTTTATGAACAGCTTAGCCATTTGTTTGTGTGCTGTGTGGTTGAGTGGAAGATTTTGGTAGCCATGGCGGCCAACTTATAGGCAGAAGAAAAGGCTGGTGCCCAGCGCAGCCGTGACGTGATAGAACATGATGATGCAAGTTCATGAAAAGGATTGGGACTTAGAATATTGCTTTTTCTAGCTGTTCTTATTTGACCATTCTAATATCTTTATCTCGGGGAGGGATTATTCGGGACGACCTAATTTTACTTCAAAATTGAAAATTAGAGGTTTAAATTTTACCTTTCTCGCTTCATAATTAACATGTTAGTATATATATCAACAAATCAGATCAGTAGAGATGGAGACCGGGAAGGTTGTTCAGTTACCGTCTTTGCCTTGAATTCTTCATTTAGTTTTTAATGAATTTGTGAGATCTCATGTCGATTAGGGAAGGAAACGAGATCTATCAAAAACCCTAAGCCCCGAAAGAGATGGATTGTGACATCTCACATCGATTTGAGGGAGGAACGAGTGTTAGAAGATGAGATCCCACGTGTCGGTTGGAAAACTCAAACTATAACGTTACAACATAATCTTATGTTGGTTCACGTTGTCATACAATCTAACGACCGTGAAACTTTCTCTCTCCTAAGCTTCAGAACCCCACTATGATTTTGACTTGAACTTACCTTGAGAGCTTCCTTCTCGAGCTCTAGGCTCCACAACGTTCACTCTTCAATCTTAGCTGGTCTATTCTGCACTCTCTAATTATATTCCTTGTAAAGAGAAAAGAACTATGTATGCTCTTGCCTTAGTCTTGATCAATCGACTCTCCTACCTAAATCATCTCAATTTTTCAATTCGTTCCAATCCATTCGTTCGTCCAACTATTTCCTCAATCACAGACAAGAACTATTTCCTTCATCTCGAGCTCCTCTTTCTTCATTGTCTCATTCTTCTTCTCTTACCTCACTCATCAAGCTCAAGCTATTTTCCTCTCCTGTAAAGTTCGAAGCTAAAAAACGATATAAATAATATTCTCGTAATCAAATCATCGTTTGTCGAGAGTAACAGTTGAAATATAATATTTGGAGAATATATTAGTTGTGGAATATATCTTAATATTCTTTCCTCTACTATTTGATTTGCAGTATATTTTATTTTATTCTCAATATTTAATTAGTTTATATTTTTTTTTTCTAGGTATTAGTTGGTAGCTTGTATCCTATTTAAATGTTATAAATATTAATAAGAATACACATCTTCGATCCAAATTCTATTTCTCATTCTTAACTCTATTTCTCATTCTTACCATGGCATCAGAGCATCATTCTTAACATGGTAGCAGAGCACTGATTTTGGTATTCCTAAATATCAAAATTTTCTCTTGAGTTAGGGTTTGGTATCAGAGTCAAAGTCAAACCCTAACTCAATTAATGAAGCCTTTACAGCCGTCGATCATCCATCGTGATAAATAAATCAAACGAGTATCACAACAACCACAACTTCCTGCTTTCCACAGTTGTGATACTCGATTGATAGAATAAAAAATAATAAAAAATAATAATAATAATAATAATAAAAAAAGAAAAAGGGCGTACGTGAGAGAATATGTCAGTCCCTTCACGTGCTTACTTGGGGACAAAGACAGCGTGGAAAGAAGTTCAATTTTAATTTTTCTTTTGTTTCTTTCCACTCACTTTCTTCACACCCACGTGTTCAATTTTAATTTTTTTTTAATAATAATAACAAAATATCATTGCATAAATCTCAATTTTAATTTATTTTGTTTCTAATTTCTAAATATACTTTTAATTTTAATTTTATTAATTTATTAAATTTTAATTTTCTCCGTGCCAATTTCAAAATGTAACGATCCTGATCTTCTATTAATTTAAAATTGTTATGGTATGCATGACGTAACTTATCAGATAGAAATAGTCATTTAAAAAAAATTACGGAAGTTCACGTAATAAAAGAAAGCTGCTAAAAAAATTTAAAAAGTATTAAATGGTTGGTACCAATGAATATAATATTATATCAAACATATATTTTTATTTATACGAGTAATTATGTAAGAAGTATGAATATTGAAAGAATTAGGTGAATATTTATAATATGGTGGAGTACCTCCACATAAGTTGATATGAATTTTGAGGGACAAGTCAAGTCAATCTCGGAAATAAAATAAACACTAGCTAAGGACAACTAAGTAAGTGGCTTACTATCAGCTTGGTTGGAAGACTTGTCTTATGTATGATGGCACATGTCTAGTGACCTTTACACGTGTTATGTATGTTTATGTAATATTATGATGTGTTATAATAATGATATGATATGATGATGTATTATGATGATGCAATTTGATATCAGGGAATCCAATATTTTCTTTTAAAAGAAATAATTTCTTTTAAAAAAAACATGGAGTATTTTATTCTCTCACTTTTATTATGAGAATATTAAAAAAAAAAAAACCTGTCTAGAGCATGGTTGAATGTAGTACTTCTCTACACATGGTCTATGCATGCAAACATGGGTCCACCAAGCGAGCTCACATATTCCCTGGGTTTGGCTCATCGGGCTACACTTGCTAATGAATTGTTGGATGTCACGATTATGCTTGTCCATGTTGCTTGTGGCCGCATGTCGGATGTTCCGATCATGCTTGTCTAGGACATATTGTCCATGGTCGCATGCCTGTTTCAAACCCCTCTTACTTGTTTTCACGTTAGACTTTTTCTATTACTGCTGTGTCAATACACAGTGTACGACCAGTCACCAAAATCATATCTACACCCCTCAAGGCTAAAATACCCAAAATGTATGGAATATGACTAATTGTCAATTCTTCCTACCTGGGTTATATGTTATCAAAATCGTTGTTGTTGATTATTCGATTTTACCTTACAACATTGAATCTTTCAAAATTTTTTCAACGCATTTTCTCGCTCACATTTTCTAAAATATTTCTTTCAAACATGACTCGAGACTCAAGCTTTCCTTACATTATATAAAATGATCTACTAGGCTTGTACCGTAACCGTTCAAGCTTACTACTAGCAGATATTGTCCGCCACTTTGGCCCGTTACATAATGTGGTCAGCCTCACGATTTTAAAATGTGTATGTTAGGGAGAGGTTTCCACACCCTTACAAGGAATGTTTCGCTTCCCTCTCCAATCGATGTGAGATCTCACAATCCACCTCCTTGGGGGCCAGCGTCCTTGTTGATACCATTTGGAACAACTCAAACCCACCGTTAACAAATATTGTTCGCTTTGGTTCGTTATGTATCGCTGTCAATCTCACGGTTTTAAAACACATCTGTTAGGGAGAGGCTTACACACACTTATAAAGAATACTTCATTACTCTCTCCAACTGATGTGAGATCTCACATGTATCAATACAGTTCAATCACATGCTAGATCAATCCTTGTTATGATGTGATCTACTAGGATTATGTCCTACATGATATAAGCTCACACGACAAGATCACCCCGTATGTATATGAGATGATCTACTAGGGTTGTGCTCTATCTGATATGAACCCACATGAGAGGTCGCTTTTGTGTGTATATGATGTGATCTACTAGGGTCATATTCTACACGATATGAAGTTACATGACGAGGTCACTGCATGCATATATATGAAATGATTACTAGGGTTGTTCCCTATACGATACAAAACCACACAGTCTCTACATGTATTTGATATAATCTAGTAGGGTCCGTCCTACACAATAAAAAATACGAATGACGGGATCACACCCCTATAATTAAAATTACACATATAAGATTCATAATTGAATTAGCTATGCGGTCACGCCTCACTATGTTAAGTTAGAAATTCACAAAAAATAGTCAAAAAGAAATAAAGGGTCGTTTTTAACTTATGAAAATATTTATAATCTATGATATGGTATTTAGCAATCGACAGAAATTTCGGAAAAAAAAAATGTAATCTAAAATTTTAAAAATACCTTTCAACTTTAAAAAAATTCAATAAAACTTTTAAAAATATTTTCACTATTAGTTTTTAGACGAGAACGGTAGTATTTTATTTAAAAAAAAATATTTTTTAATTTTAATTTTTTATTACTATTCTTACCCTTTTTAAAATTTCAAAAATAGGAATGAAACTTTTAAGATATTTTTAGAAAATTAAAAAAAAAAGTTAAACGTTTTGATGAGAATTTGAAAATTCAAAATTTTACATATAAAAAATTAAGAAAAGGAAAAATCCAAAAAGAAAAAACAAATTGCCAAAATGGATCCTCCTTCTTCAAAACAAACGGGATTTCGCGGTTGAGCCGTTAGATGTGATAGCGTAGCCAGTAGTAGCCGGAGGAGAGCTTTGGATCGGAATCAATGGAGTTCCTTCCGATTTCACTTGATGCTTACAGATTAGGGTTCATCGGAGCTGGAAAAATGGCGGAGAGTCTAGCAAGGGGAATCGTCCAATCTGGTCTCTTACCTCCTTCTCGAATCTCCACGGCTCTCTACCCCACTCCTGGCCCCCCCATTGATTTCGAATCTTTCGGTGTTCGAGTCCTCCCCAAGAACGAAAATGTATGGTTATGCTTCATCTTCATCTTTCTACTGCATCGCCATAATCGCGCTTTACGTTTTCTTTTTTCATCGATTATGTCCAGGTGGTTGAAGAAAGTGATGTGGTCATCTTCTCTGTAAAGCCTCAAATCGGTACGGCGCTTGTTCATCTCATCTACTCTTGTCCTGTTTTCCCCATTTGTTTATTCATTCATTTTTCTCCTTGGTATTCTCGTTGTCCTCTTGAAAAATATTTAAAAAAATTAATTGAGGAATGTCTCTGGTGATTTATATCTCGAAATGCTAAGTTTTCTTGTGTGATTTATTGGTATATAATGATTTGTCTTTTGATGAACTTTATGTTAAATCGTTCTGTGATGGGAAATACTGGTTGCAGTTAAGAATGTGGTGTTGAAGCTGAGGCCTCTACTGGGGAAGAAGCTTTTGGTTTCGATTGCTGCTGGGATAAAATTGAAGGATCTGCAGGTTCTTCACTTTACTAACTTGTTTTTTTGGATTT